GTGGAAGAATTTGACGCGGAGTTCGGTCAAGCGAGTCGATCTAGTCCTACGAAGATGAGAAGGGATATGAGTGACCGAGGAACTGTGGCTAGTGAGAGATCTCCCTCACCGTGCATGGTGTTTACGCTGGATGTGACTTGCCGTGACCATGGCAGTGACATCCTAGACCTTTCTCAGGACACAGAGAAGGAAAAGGACATCTATGATGATACTGCCACTGGCAAGGAAGTCCAGACTGCAAGGCCATCGAAGCGCAAGATGAAGCCCGTGCGTGATCCAGGCACAAACGTGATCGGTGCGATCGCTCCCTTCGATTTCTTCGTCTCCAGTACACCGTGGCAGTGACATCCTAGACCTTTCTCAGGACACAGAGAAGGAAAAGGACATCTATAATGATACTGCCACTGGCAAGGAAGTCCAGACTGCAAGGCCATCGAAGCGCAAGATGAAGCCCGTGCGTGATCCAGACACAAACGCGATCGGTGCGATCGCTCCCTTCGATTTCTTCGTCTCCAGTACACCGTCCACTCCGCTGCGCGTGAAGAAAGGCACAGTTCTGCTGCAAACGCCAACCAAAGCTACGCGCTCTCCCGACGTGTACCGGCAATCGCCGTCACTCAATCTGACGCCTACAAAGTCGTCTCCTTTGACTCCAATGAGGCTGAAAAAGGCTTCTGGACTGCTACGGACACCAACGAGAAATGGTCTGAAGGACTCTCCGGCGTCTGCAGGTCAGCTCAAGCGCAAGAGCAAAGCGGTTCGTCCTCGTTCAACCTGTTCCAGCTCCAGTTTTGACTTCAAGGGCTAGAGAGCTGCACTCACCATCTCTCCAGCTTCGCTGCTTCATTTCGACCAACTTCTAACTACTCACTGACAAATTAGTGCGTAGATGTCGGGGTTGCAAACGTAATTATTTTCTTTCGTAGGACACGGCGTGGTCTTTATTTATTGCTCTGGCTGTGTTGGTTCAGCTCCTCCGAAGGCGCAAAGACGGTCGAGTTCACAGTCCAGCAGTTCTACTGGTAGGGCGGCGTCCAGGATGCTGAAAAACTCCATCGTTTCGTACGAACTCGCAATTATCCAGAAAGGTTGACCACGCACAACGATCTGCTCAGCTGTCTGTCGCCGTTGACGTCCCTTCTTCTCGTATGGATTCCTCAGCTCTGGGAAGATATGTGCATCTCCCGTGGAAATGTCGCCTGTATCGTTCGTCACTTTCTCGCGCAAGAAGAGTCCGTCATTGGCCTCTACGTTGAGCCTGAGCGGTGGAATGTCGGATGAGAGTTCAGGAGAAGTCTCGGGAACAGCCTCGTATAAGCAACGTGAGCTTCGTTGAGAGGCGGCTAAATGCTGGACAAACTGCGTCATGATCTG